GAAAAGAAGAGCAGGTGAATTCCAGCCTTGGTAGAGAGTGGCCTCAGATGTGATTAATGAACTGATCTATTTTAGCGCCTTCTATAGGTGAATCCATTACAATGCACTGGATCTGTAAATCTAGCAAAGCCCAAAGGGGAAATGGGTTTGGATGGGAGGGAGGGAATGAGATGGCAAAGACAGTAGAGAAGGTACTGAATGTAGCCAAAAAACCCGTAGCCTGTGAATTCAGACATGAAAGAAAGAAGATTAAATTCACAGATAACAGAAAGGATCCTTAATAGTCAAGAACTGAAGTCCTACTATTTGTGAAGATGCAAAGCTCAAAAGAAAAATAAAGTAAGTAGGAGTTCCTTGACAGGTTGTATTAGTCAAGTTTTCCCAAAGTAACTGAACCAACTGGTTAGAGGTAGATATATACAAGAGGAGATTTACCCAGAGCCAGGGGTGCCAGTGTCTGAGGGCAGGAGACGGATGCCCCAGCTCAAACAGAGAGGAACTTCATCCTTCCTCCCATTTTTGTTCTATTAGGGCCACCAGGAAATTGGCCAATGCCCACTCACAGTTGCAAGGGCCATCTGCTTTCCTCAGTTCCCCAACTTACACAATAATCTCTTCCAGAAACAACCTCACAGACACACCCAGATGCAATATTTTTCAGGTATCTGGACATCCCTTAGCTCAGCCAAGTTGACACATAAAATAAACCATCACAGGGGTATCCAGAAACTCATGGCAAGCAATTTACAACACAGGTTATGTTAATCTTATTCCTATTATTTAATAAATTTATTTACATATTGCCCTTCTACCAAAAATTAAAATGGAAGAAAGCAGTCCAAAGTTTATTTTCTTCTTCCTCTTCCTAGACATGTAAATGTAAAACAGAAAAATCTCTCACACACACACGTAGAAAAGCCCTTTTGCGAAAGGAGTAAAACTGAACAGAAAGTCAAAGGGTCTCTTTGATCAGAGCAACGTGGCGCCAATGTTGAGCACAACCACATGACTCACTAGATAAAGTCTTGCTGATAAAATGAATTACTACAAGAAAAAGGATCAGATATTAGGTGTTCAAAATACTATCCACATATTCAAAATTAATGAAATAAGATTAAAAAGCAATTTCTGACTTCGGACTCTGTATGATAGGGCCACTACCCCAGCAACAGGGACCTCAAATGGGAAACAACCTGCTGGTCAATGCCGGAGATACCATGGCTTTTGCCAAGTGCTGCTTCAGTGTGGCCCCTGGACTTTCACAAAGACCTTCACTACCTCCTGGAAATTACCATTGCTCTCTCATAAAAGAATCCATCTGCTGCTTTGTTCCCCTTGCAATTAGAAAGGACTCAAATTAGATGGGGCCATCTGAGCACTCTGATGAGACAATAATCCTCTTAAGAGATTATAAACCTAAAACATTTGCCAAACCAGAAGCAGTTACTTCCATGGGTCACAGGAACAGATTTTAATATCTGAGTTTGTCAGGGATGAAAACCAGAATAGGGTAACCCTGTTCTCTCCCTTTTTTTATTTATCCACAGCCTGACTGTTTCGGGGCCAGCTATATTTCATCTTGAACCATGCCCAGGTGCATTGACAGCTAAAGGAGACTCTTGGGGGCAAAAAAAGTTCCTCTTCTTTGTATCTGAAGTCTTCCCTCTGGTAAGGTCAACTTTCTTCATCAAAATTTAGTTGTCCACTTTGTATCCTCTGGCTCAGGTGACCATATAATTTATTGTCAACTGGGACATTGGACAGGAAAGGGGAGCAGCTGTGTCAACCAAGAACTTCCAGGCAAACCTGGGCACAATACATATGACATTTCCTCAATGACCTTCTGTGTTTATGGCTTGTTTTATCATGCATTAAAAGTTATTCTGTCAAGTATAAGTTCTGAGTTAATTTTTTCTGGTTAGAAATAACTGAAACAACTTAAATTAGCTTAAACCAAAAAACAAAGCAGGGGTGGGGAGGAGATTTATTTTAAGGCTGTGGACATGCCTATGGAATTCAAGAGGAGAAAGTCCAGAACGTCTTGTGAGACATTTGTGGAGCCAGGAACACACCCTAGTCTCTGGTCTGAATGTTCTCGTATCTCCACCTCTCTCTGATCATCTACTTGAGTCTTTTTTTCTCTGAGACCACAAATAAGATCATTTGTGGGAAACTATGGAATGCAAAACTCCTGGGCTTGGAATAATGCCTCTTTGGAAGATGCTCACGTGCAGACTGGTCACATGGTGTCCTAGCTCTTCAACTCTTCATACTGAGCTATGTAAGAGGCTTGAGTTTCCATTACTCACTTACTTCTTTTTACATGGAGTTTCTTAACCGCATTGCTCTTTCCCAAGGGGCCATTTGGAAATATGTACTGGGGTAGGATTCGCTGGCACTGAATGTGGAGGAGGGGGACAGACATACTACTCATTCTTCATTGCAAGAGACAGCCCTCTGCAAGCACAACCCCAGCTCTCCCCTCCCCTGCTTCTCCCTCCCCCAGAATGCCAACAGCGTTCCCATTGAGAGACGCTGAAACATACCTGCCGCCTGCAGAAGCCTGGATGGCTGAGTGTGCAGTATGTAGGTCATTGGGTCGGGGTGAAGTACAGAGCTCTGGTGTTCAGACCCCATCAGCAGGATGTGATGGAAGAGAAGTAGTCCTGGACGGGAAAAAGATTTTTGTTCTTGTTGTTTTGTGCCTTATTTATACAGAGCTCAATGTCATTAAGAAATGTTTGTGGTTTTAGATACGTTAAATGTGGACCACAGTAACGAAACCTCACATAACAGTGCTGAAACAGACGTCTCTCACACACCCTCAGGACCCTCTGACCTTCTTCGGAAAGAAAACGTAAAAATCCCCGACTAAGGTGAGTGTCCTGTGTGTGCTGACAAGGCACTGGGCGTTAAGAATATTTTGGCCTCTGGGATATTTCAAGCAATTTACCAAAGCATTTTAACATGCCAGAGGCTTCTATCACCTGGTTTTCATCAGCTTCCCAATCTGCAGTTCCTCATGCTGATTTTAGGGGACAGTTATTCTGTAAATTACAAGGCTTTAAATCACAGAATCTAGAATGCATATGGTGAGGGGGTCTGCACTGACTTTCAAAATGGGATTTAGGCTTTTCGCGTCGCAGATCCATGAGCTGAGGAGCTGCTAAGCTAGGGTCCTAATGGGAGCTCATTTCTCCGCTCCCAGCACCCCCTCCCCGCTGCAGGCACACTGCCCCCTCCTCTCCTCTGCACTGCCCCCTGGCCATCACATGGTTATGGGTGGAAGCTTGGCCCCCTGCCCGAGGTTGATCCCTTGGAGCCTATTTCAAACTGCCCATTCTAGTATCAGGAGACGGGGAGGAGGTTTGCGTTGACATCTTCCGGAGTTATCTAATAGCTTTCCTGAATGACGGAGGAAAAAGAAATCCTGGAGTGTAAAAATAAAACTCATCAGCACCATCCAGCTTCTCAGCAGAATAGCCTCTCTTTCCCTCTTCATTATTAATGAGGCCAAAAGGGTCTGAGGTTTCGATCCAGGAAGCACCAAGGGTAAATGTGAGAAGCCATCTTTGCCTGTCAGGCTCTGGTTGACTGTTTCCGCGCAGGCAGCTCCGCGTGTGAGCATCTGGCCTGCAATCCCGGTGTGGGCTTGCTGTGGGCTCACGCGAGCCCTGGGGCCAGGCCTGACGTGGAAGGATGGCAGCTCCCTGGCACGTTTCCTGAGGAAGAGTTCAGTCAAGAATCACAGACATTACCCTAATGATTAGCGCCGCTGAGCATCTTTTCATATGCCTGTTGGCCACCTGCATGTCCTCTTTGGAAAAATGTCTACTTAGCTTTACTGCCCATTTTTTATAGGGTTTTTTGTTTTTTTGATATTGACTTTTATTAGCTGTTGGTACATTTTGGAAATTAGTCCCAAGTCGGTCGCATTGCTTGCAAATACTTTCTCCCGTTCTATAGGTTGTTTTTTCCTTTTGATTATGGTTTCCTTTGCTATGCAAAATACTTTTTAGTTTAATTAGGTCCCATCCCATTTGTTTATTTTTTGCTTTTATTTCAATGACTCCAGGAGACTGATCCAAGAAAACAGTGCTGCGATTTATGTCAAATAGTGTTCTGCCTGTTTTCCTCTAGGAAGTTTTATAGTATCTGGTTTTACATTTAGGTCTTTAATCCATTTTGAGTTTATTTTTGAATATGGTGTTAGAGAATGTTCTAATTTCAGTCTTTTATGTGTAGTTGTCCAGTGTTCCCAGTACCACTTATTGCAAGGACTCTTTTCTTCATTGTATGCTGTCTCCTTTGTTGTAGATTAATTGACTGTAAGTGTATGGGTTTATTTCTGGACTTTCTGTCCTGTTCCACTGATCTATGTGTCTGTTTTTGTGCCAGTACCATACTCTTTTGATAACTCTAGTTTTGTGATATAGTCTGAAGTCAGGGAGCATGATTCCTCCAGCTCTATTCTTCTTTTTCAGGATGTTTTGGCTATTCAGGATCACTTGTGTTTCCATGCAAATTTTTAAATTATTTGTTCTAGTTCTGTGAAAAATGCCATTGGAATTTTGATAGGGATTGTACTGAATCTGTAGATTGCCTTGGGTAGTATGTTCATTTTAACAATATTAATTCTTTCCAGTCTAAGAACACAGTATCTTTCCATCTGTTTGTCAGCTTCAACTTCTTTCATCAGTGTCATAGTTTTTCAAATATAGATCTTTTACCTCCTCAGACAGGTTTACTTCTAGGTATTTTATTCTGTTTGATGCAATGGTAAATGAGACTGTTTCTGTTATTTCTCTTTCTGATACTTCATTGTTAGTGTACAGAAATGCAACAGATTTCTGTATATTAATTTTGTATCCTGCAACTTTACTGAATCCACTGATGAGCTCTAGTAGTTCTCAGGCAGTGTCTTTAGGATTTTCTATATATATATATATATATATATACACACACACACACACACACAACACCACCCAACACA